TGTGTGTGTGTGTGTGTGTGTGTGTGTGTGTACGTGTCTGTATCCAGGTGTACTAGAAGAAAGAACATGACTTACTTGTTGTCAGTTTATAATGAATTAAGATCCTCTGCTTTACTGCAGCCAGTTAGACAGTGGTGCCCTCAGCTCCTCAGCGCCTGCTGTCCCAGACATGGCCCTGGTTCCCGGACAGGAAGCGCTGGGGCTGCTGTCTGGATGGGACAGGGCCTGTGCTGTCCTGTATGACAAGCTCGGTCTGCAGCGGGCCTGGGGCTGTCGACTGCTCAGAACTCCTGCCTACGTGCAGACTGAGGGGCGGCTGGCCGGACTGCACGTCTGCACTGCATCGGCAGGAGCGGCTTGCAGGAAACAGCACAGCACTCGCAAGATGTGATGCTCAGCGGCTCAAAGCATCACTTACAGGATCTGTCTTGTAGACAGACCCACTCTGTAAACCCTAGATCTCGTTTTTCAGAATACACCCTGAACAAGGTGCAGAAGCTGTGCTTCCTTATGCCATCTGTAAAGGCAGGTGACCTTATACATGTCAAGAGCAAACCTCAATCTTCTTTTAAAATGTAATGACACCTTTATCCTTGGATCGATGTCTAATACTTTTGTTTCGTTTGTTTCTGAACACTGTTACTGACCACATCTGCTAAGACGCCGGGAGCCTCCAGGGCTTGCCCAGGTGTGTCCTGGTTTCTTACCTGTGAGTAGAAGCAGGTAGAGTCCTCCCTGGCCAGTAACCATGGCAGCGGAATGGCACAGACGCACTGCCTCCCCCCGTCTCTCACACAGGTCCTGCGCTCTGACAGGTGGACCCCAGCGGATTGACTGTGTAGCCCCCTCTGTTGCTCTCAGGCACCAGTAGAGTTTCCTGTGCAGAGAGAGAACAAGAGGAGGGGGGTAGAAAGAGGAGGGGCGACAGAGAAAAGAAGAGAGAGGAGAGAGAGAAGAGAGAGAGGGATAGAAACTTTGAGAGATGAAAGGGGCACAGACAGCAGTGAGAGGGCAGAGGGACAGGAAGAAAGAGATTTCAGTGTAAATTCTGTGTTACCACCCTGTGACTTACTGACGCTCAGGGTCAGGGCTCCTCTGTGCCCCTGAGAAGCCCAGCATCTCCAGTGTCTCCCCGGTTTCTCTCTCACTGCCCTGTTCCTCCCTGAGTCACTGTACTCTCCAGAGACGAGCATCAGCGTCAGACCCTGCACACAGCGCGTGTGTATATGTGTGTGCGTGCATGTGTGTGTGCACTGGAGCAGGTGTGGACACACTTACAGCCGGGCTGTGATGCCACACAGTGTCTCCCTGTAGTCTCTCCATGTGAAAATCACCCAGCACTCATCCCTCCTTTACCGTGGCCTGGAGATGTCTTTCGTGAGACAAGGGCGAGAGCTGTAAGTAGGACAGACCACTGAGAAAGCAGGTCAGCATCTGCTCTGTCCTCCTCAGCCATGGCACGGGGAGGTCTGGCTGCAGACCTTGTGTGTCTCTTTTACCGCTGGCAGTTTGGACAGGCTGTGGTTTCAACAGTTCCTCGCAGTTTGTTGCCAATGGTTCACAAATAAAAAAAACAATCTGCGGGACTTTGGAGCCAAAATCTTTTGAGGATTTCTGTAAATATCCTCCAGGACTTGTCTGAGGTGACACACAGCAGAATACCTCGGGAGACCTGCAGGACAGGGAAAGTGATTCTGCATAGCTTGTGGCTTCCAGTCTTGCACGCCTCCCCACATGTCAAATTAGGCGACACCGACTTGCATCAGTTCGCGCTGAGCAGTTCTCAGCTGCGCAGGCCCTTCTGAACTACATTACCTAGCAGCCCGGCGCCTGCGCACTGCGGTGGGGTTGCCGCTGGTCGCTCTCGAGGAGGATGCTGCGCGCTCAGGCAGCATCAGCACCCGGTCCGTCTGAGGAACAGCTGAGCGGAGGGAGAAGAGGCGATTAACACAACGGCAGCGCGAAACGCAGGAGGCGACATGGCTGATCAGAAGGCAAGTAGGGCTCGTTGGCCCAGATGCATGAGCTGCGGCGGCTTGAATGTTTTTATTTTTCGCTGCACTAGGTGGTGGGTGGGGAAATAACGCGTGTGGCAGGGAGTCGCGCCGCGCATCGCCGACCTGTGCTCGGGATACCGGCGGCCGGCGGGGAACAGAGCCGATTGCGCTCCGAGTCTGCGAGTCAGGACGAGCTGAGCAGTAACGGTTCTTCCTCTGCCTTCGTACTGCCGCGGTTCTCGATATCCTCCCGCCTGCATTGATACAAGTGCCGCGCTGCAGCAGCGCTGGTACCGTCGCCGCAGTCTGCAGTGTCCGCCTCGGCGGCAGGGCCGCTCCCACAGCTCCGAGAGCGGCCCGGGACAGGACAGGTGTGCACCTCTCCCGTCACACCGTCCGTCGGCGCGACGTTTGCTTAAAACCCCTGCTCGTACTGTATACTCACAGCAGGCAAAAAACCCTACACAACGGACAGCTGCTGCGCTCGGTCTTTTGTGTCCTGCGCCCCAGAAGAAGGAGCCCGCAGGATAAAGCGCCGTTCGGCTCTGATTCCAGGATGTGTGCGGGCCCACCTGCGTCGGCCCAGCAGTACACGGGACACGCCTTACCATTATTGATCAGGAATCCTGTTCTGTATGTACATACGGCAAGTTAACGGCTTCCCGTTGGCAAGGAGATCGGTTAGGGTCGCTATGGCCCCTGCGTCGTTATCAGCATCATTATAACAAGGCACTGACGGAGAGAGGAGCATTCTCTCTGAATCTCTACACTTACTGCAGGTACACTAGTTTCTAGCCAGCCAAATCAGAAGCCATTCACACGAATTGTTTCCGTGCATATTGTTTTGCATGTTGTGTTGCTGTTGCTTGGCTGCAGTGGACTGTGCGTTGTGCCCTGCTGGTCAGAAGGGGCTCCAGCTGCCCGCGCCCCTGGATGTGCAGATGTGTGAGGAGCTGGGGTGTTGTATCGGTGGCCTTGCTGCTGCTGATCCGCAGCTCCTCTGGTGCTTGTAGTCCCTTTACCCAGAGGGTTTTGCTTCCTGCCTTCACACAGAGTGGCATCACAGGTCAGGGGTCACTGGGCATCTGTCCTGCCTGCCTGTCCTTCCTTACCTCCTGGTGTCAGCATCTCTCTCCTTGTACCGGTACCAAAAGAAACTACCACTATCGCAGAGAAGGAACACTGCTTATGAGACAAATTCAGCTTTAGTCACTGAAAGCTACAATGATTTTGAAAGACATAAAATAAAATTGAGTCAGTGTCTCTCCTTGTCCTCCCGGTGTCAGTGTCTCTTTCTCTTTGTCCTCCTGGTGTCAATGTCTCTCTCTCTTTGTCCTCCTGTTGTCAGTGTGTGTCTCTCCTTGTCCTCCCGGTGTCGGTGTCTCTCTCTCCTTGGCCTCCCGCTGTCAGTGTCTCTCTCTCTTTGTCCGCTTGGTGTCAGTGTCTTTCTCTCTTAGCCCTTCTAGTGTCAGTGTCTCTCTTTGTCCTCCTGGTGTTAGTGTCTCTCTCCTTGTCCTCCTGGTGTCAATGTCTCTCTCTCTCTTTGTCCTTCTGGTGTCAATGTCTCTCCCTTTGTCCTCCTGGTGTGAGTGTGTCTTTCTCCTTGTCCTTCTGTTGTCAGTGTGTCTCTCTCTTTGTCCTCCTGGTGTTTGTGTCTCTCTCCTTGTCCTCCTGGTGTCAATGTCTCTCTCTCCTTGTCCTTCTGGTGTCAGTGTCTCTCCTTGTCCTCCTAGTGTCAGTGCCTCTCTGTTCTTGACCTCCTGGTGTCAGTGTCTCTCTCTCCTTGTCCTCCTGGTGTCAGTGTGTCTCCTAACCCTTGTGCTGTGACCTCTACTGTTTCAGGAAGCTTTGAGAAAAATCACCACCACCTTGGCACTGAAGAATGAGGAAATTCAAAACTTTGTGTGCACTGTGAAACAAACCCTGCAGAACCTGGAGGTACTAAAACTGACTTCCTGACTGACACACTGACAATTGTCATACTGTCCGATTATCGCACTGACTGTCTGACACGCTAACTGACTCACTGACTGACTAACACACTGACAACTGTTGCACTGACTGTCTGACACACTGAGAGCTGTCACACTGACTGTCTGACACAGTGAGAGCTGTCACACTGACTGACACGCTAACTGACTCACTGACTGTCCGACACACTGCCTGTCCGATACACTGACCGATGGAAACTCTGACTGTCTGACACATTGACTTTCTGACAGATTTGCCTGACTGTCACATTGACTGTTTGACACAGTGACTGACACACTATCACACTGCCTGACTGACACACAAGGTCATAATAAGACATTATACAGCTCTAACATGTTAAAAAGCTCAGCTGCACCTCAAATCGCAAATACAAGTTGACAACAAGCTCACACAATGAGGCTGAGCCCCGCTTTCCCCTGACCCCCAGGGAAACGCCACCCGTGTGCAGCAGGACCTGGAGGCAGAGTTCAGCTCTCTGTACTCTGTGCTGGATGAGCTGAAGGAGAACATGGTGACCCGCATCAAGCAGGAGAGAGCCAGCCGCATCTATGAGCTGCAGGTCTGTCCGTCTCTCCGTAGCTCAGCTGCCCCGGAGTGGAGCACATCGCCATCAGGAGCCCTCTGGGCAGAGTCCGCAGCTGTAGCAGCTGTGTGGTTCCCTCTTGTCTTGTGCTGTTCGATTCAGATCAACCAGCTTTACTGGCCTGACTGAGGGATAACAGTGATGTCAAAGCAGGAACAATGAGCACAACATTTGCAGACATTTACAACAACAACAACAACAACAACATTATTATTATAGGTGCTTTTAGATGCAGCCAATGTTTTATTGCCCTCTTCTATGTGCTAATAAATGGGTATTGGCCTAATTCAGCCCTGCGTGCGCTGTTAGGAGTTTTTCTCTGCGCATTGAGGATGTTTTTACAGAATTCTGTATGCAGAGTTTTTATGGGGTGTTTGTCCCATTGAGTGTAATCCCTGTCCGTAACTGGACACCAGACTTTACTGCCATGTAGGCCAATGGGTTGGTTCATATTTTCAAATAATTGGAGCCAGAGGTTTGTGGGGGGATTGATATTATAGAGCCTCCTTCTTGTGGTGTAGAAAGACTTGTGCGCCTTCTCCTGCTAGGTCAGACTTGCTGATGAACTGGTCTTCAGACCAGTTATGTGCAGCTGGCCGTGCGCTCTCACTGCTGCCCTCTGTCCTCGGTGTCGCTGGGCCACAGGGGAATGCTTGTGCTGTCCTGTGATCTGTCTGCTCGTGTCCCGTTAGAGCCAGCTGACGGCGTGCACCAAGGCGCTGGAGAGCTCAGAGGAGCTGCTGGAGCTGGCCAATCAGACGCTGTGTTCGGCCGAGACTGACAGCTTCAATCAGGTGAGACCTGCAGGCAGTGTGAGTGTCAGGAATGCTCAGCCTGCTATTCTAACGCTAGAGTTAATTTGAAGGAAGGGGATACAGTGAGAGTTGTGGGCAGGAGGGAGGGGGAGAGTGGAGGAAATCTTTGGTTGACATTTTGAAGAGCCTGTCAATTACTAACAATTCTGTCTCTTTCTCTCTTTTCCTCTTCTGCCTTGTTTATCTCCCCTCCCTGACAGGCTGCCAAAGAGATTAAGGATAGGTACAGTACTGCCCCCCTGTCCTCACAGTCTGTGAGTTTGTCAGCCTGCTTCTCAACACTGACAGGCACAGCCCTCCTTCTTTCTCACCACCTGTCCTCTCTCCTCTCCTTCCCCCTGCGCTGGGAGACTCTGAGACTGGTCTCCGGGCTCTGTTCAGTAGTCTTTTCGGTTCATAAACCAATCAACACTCCATCAGTGGCTAAAGTCAGTCAGTCTTCATCCCCTTACCATGCTGTGTCCTTATCCCACATCTGCCTGTCTGTCCATGAGTCTGTCTGCTAATGATGGCCATGTAACTGTGTATGCTGACACTGTCTGTCCATCTGTACTGCGTTCCTCTCTAGGTACACCCTGTAGTGTCTGTGTGTCTGTACACTGACCCTGTCTGTGTCTGTTCACTGAACCTGTCTGTGTGTCTGTACACTGACGCTGTCCGTGTCTGTATGTCCGCAGTGTGACCATGGCCCCTGCGTTCCGTCTGTCCCTGAAGCCAAAGGTCAGTGACAACATGAGTCACCTGATGGTGGACTTTTCCCCTGAGAGGAACATGCTGCTGGCCCTCAAATTCCTGCCAGGTAATTCAGTGCTAGCCCTGTGCTGCTTAGCCCTTCATCTCTTCCTCTCCATGTCTGTCTCCCTGACATCAATCTCTACCTCTCAGTCCTTCTGTCTGTCATTTCTGGACACTGACCTCTCACACCACCACTCTCCTACCCCTGCCTCCCTCTGCTTCCTCCCTCTATCCTAGTGCCCGGGACCCCAGAGATCCAGCAGTTGGAATGCCTGGTGTGTGATAACAATGTCCGGGTAGTGTGGACGGTTCCTGAGCCCGATTCCAAGATTGACCACTACATCCTGGAGTACCGTCGCACCAACCACCCGGGGCCACCACGCGCCAAAGAGGAACATCCCTGGATGGTGGTGGAGGGCATCCGCGACACCGAGTACACCTTGACAGGTACAGGTGACACAACACAATACACATTGAACAGGTGGCACAATTACACCCTGTTTGTGTGTGATTACCAGCATCTGTGTGTGATTACTGCTGCCTTTTTGTGATTACTACTGTCCGTATGTGATTTCCATTGACTGTGCATGATTACTGCAGTCTGTGGGTGATTACCGTGTCTGTGTGCTTAGTGCTGTCTGTGTGTGATTACTGCTTTCTGTGAGTGATTACCAGCGTCTCTGTATGATTATTGCTGTGTGTGTAGGATTACCAGTGTCTGTGTGTGATTATTGCTGTCTTTGTGTAATTACAGGTCTCTATGTGATTACTGCTTTTTGTGGATGGTTACCAGTGTCTGTGTGTGATTAGTTCAATTCAATCCAATTCAAGGTGATTTATTAGCATGACCGATGGGTACAATTAGTGTTGCCAAAGCAAATAGAAATAATGCAATTAACATGAAACAAAATAAAAATAAAATAAAATCAACAGACATTTCCAGCAAAGACATATTATAAAATATTTACATATACTGTAAACATATTGAGCATTATTGGGGGACAGATTCACTGTTCTTCAGGCTGTGACAGGAGATCACATACTGGGCTGCCAGTTAAACTGAGTTCCCTCCTCTCTCTCCCAGTAGGACTGGGACTCGTTGTGATTCTGGCAGGTGTGGGAACTCTGTTATTAGATTTCTGAATTTAGGGAAGAGTGTTTCTCTAATCCCAGA